TGCTGAACGCCCACAGAGAAATGATGCATGAGTGAGAAACTTCTATGACGTTCAGTCTCTGGCTGTCGGGGTTATTTCTTTTAACAGTCAGCCCTCTATGACTAATATGGCATCTGTCTCTATCCTAGGCCAGGAAAAGCTCAAGCCTAGAAACAAGATCTGCTTTTTAAAGTTCCCGGTATCCACCGCAAAGCCTGGCACACAGCAGGCACCTAGAAATGTTTGATGAATGAATAAGCAATGTCCTGGGGGAGTTTCCCTGACCTTCCCAACCCCTGACCCCATGACCTTCCAGTTCCTTTATGCTAAGAGTTCTCGAAGTGTGGTCCCCGGGCCAGCAGCATCAACATCACCTGGAAGTTTATTAGATATTCAAATGATCAGGCCTTGCACCAAACCTACTGGATCAGCAATCTGTGTTTTAACGAGTCCTCCACATTATTCTGATGCATGCTAAAGTTTGAGAACTCCTGCTTTATACTTTCACTTCCTATAACCCTCTACATTCCAAAACACCTGTAGTGATGATCCCAAAATTGCACTCACAGAGTCAACTGCATCAGGGGGTTCCACAAAGGCTGAAAATTCCACCAGCTGCAACCGGGCAGTGCCCAGGGCCCGAGCCTGCCAGGCTGGGGGTGACGGGGCAGGTGGGGGCACGGCAGGAGGTGAGAGGGCTTGGGGGGGTTCATACCCTAAAGACAGAGAAGAATAAACAATAAAAATTGCTAACATTTATTGACTATATCAAGCGCTATTCTCTTGCCTGCCTCCGCTTAGAAGCTGAAAAAGCTAAATACTCACTTTCCCAGCCTCCCTTGCAGCTAGAGGTGGCCATGTGACACAGTCCTGGCCAATGAGACGTTAGGGGAAATCTGCTGGGGGGCTTCTGGGAAGGAGTTTCTTCCTGAATGAAAAAGACAGAACTTTGGGAGGAGAAAGCTTTTGGTTCTGGACAAGTCCTGCTTGGGATGTGATGCCTGGAGTCACAACAGCCATCATGGCACAGTAAGACAGAGGCCAAGGGACCTACAGAGATGCCAGTCCTGATATTGCTGAGCTGCCGAGCCAGCAGAGAAGCAGCCCACCTCCAGACTTTTTGCTGCGTGGAATCATTAAAGCCTTTATTATTTAAGGCACTCTTAAGTAGGGAATGCTGTTACTTGCGGCCAAGAGCATTCTTAACGGATGAATCTGTGGAAACTAAGAGTAATTTTTCATCAACGTGAGTTCGTAGGACCACGTCAGCATGGACTTCTGGAAGCCATCTTTGCCGCCAGATGGGCAGGGCTTGACTGGGAATGAAGCCACCGGAGGAAGGCAGAACCAAATGAGTCCTGAAGCTACCACCTGACTCCCTGGATCCAGCTATGCCTGAAGTCCTAACTCCTGAAATATCAGTTACCTGAACCGATACATTCCTTCTTGTCTATTACCTAGCTTGATTTGGGTTTCTGTCACTTGCAGCTGAAAGAATTTTGACTAATACACCTCCCAGCGAATGTCCTTTAGGCTAGTAAATGGCAGAACACAACCCCAGTGTTCTGGCTACAGACCGCAAATTCTGCCGCTCATCCTTCCATACCCCACACACCCTAACTCAGAGCTGGACATCAGTTCAGAACGTGTCCCCAAATTCATGGAAGGTTAAAAGAAAGGCAGGGTTGACGAAAGAGATGGGAGACAAGGGACAGAGGAGAGCAGACTCTTACCTGGGAGTTCAGTAGATGGGAGAGTCAGTGACAAGGAGAATGGTGTCTGCGAGAATGGCTTCACGCTGAGGAAGAAAGGAGGCTGAGGGTCAGCAAGATGGAAAGAGGCTAATCGTACCAGCTAGCATTTACTAAGGGGCCGGGACAAGTTGGCCCCTGTGCTAGCACGTTATGTGTGCGTTTTCATCAAAGCCTCACAGCCTGGGAGGTAGCTGTGATTGTGGCTCTTTTCTCCTGTTTGCACGGGAGAAACCCCAGGGGTCAAGTGACCAGCCCAAGGTCACACAGCTGGGTGCGGCGAAGCCTGGACTGGAACCCAGGTCAGTCCCAGCCGCAAGCCTGCGGACTTGACGATAGTTTGGGACCTCTCACGAAATGGCAGAAAGAGAACAGAAACGAGGTTCCATGAGGTGAAAAGAAAACACGAGAATAAGAAATCTGGAGAAAGAGGAGGCTAACGCGTCAGGAGGGCGGGGAGAAAATGACCAGCGGCTCAGAAATGGGACACAGGGCCAAACTTGGGTGGGAAGGCAGCATAACAGCATCTAAAGCAGTGTGTCCAGTAGAACTTTCTGTGATGGTGGAAATGTTCTATATCTACGCAATCC